ATGAGGGAAAACAGCTCAAAGTCAACAACATCAAAATGGTAACCTAATGAAGGGGAGCTGAGAGAACTGCCTACAACATTGGGATATTGACCTGATGAGTCCTGAGTTCTTTTTTCTTCATCTCCACGCTCTCGACTGTGTTTCAGGCTATTAGAACACTTCATCTGGATTAAGGCTGCTCTCCCTGCTTGCAGTCTGCTTCCCCTCAACTCCATAGAGCAACCGAAGCAGACATTATAAAGTAATATTAAAGCAGCTTCCCATTGCTCTCAGGATATGGCCTGAAATTCTTAGCATGATTTTGATACATTTTTAATCTTGGTCCTTGCTTACTTTTACTTCCCCAGTCTTGCTCCCACTTCCCCACCTCCACCCCATAGCTTACATTCTCTGTTCCAGAGCCTCACCCTCTTCGCTGAACTCACTCTTTTGCCTTTCTCACCTTTTATGCAACTTTCCTCACTTCTTTAAAGGTTTTAGCTTAATGACCCTTCCTCCAGGAGATTTTTCCCTGAGCCCCAAAGACTGGGGCATTGAACGCATCCGTAGAGTTCTTCGTTTTAAATTAGGAGAACCCTTTAACTCGTCTGTCTCTTGTAAGTTCCTTGAGGGTGACTGGCTCATGTTTGGTGCACAAGTGCAGGTATGAGATCAGAAGAAACATGGAACGCTTCTCTCCTGCAGCTGGAGCCCAAGGCTATGGAGAGGGTAAAAGGAGACCAGAGGGCTGTGCTAGCTGCTGGGACAAAATGTGGGCCAGGGGTCCCAACCACTGGTCTAATAAGATTACTAGGAACCATGAATTACTTGGCGAACTACCACCCCAATCAGTTTCATTTAAGGCAATCCGGCAAACCCAACCCATCTTCTTTCCTTGAGTATTTTAACTGGCAGAAACTAACAGCCCTTCCCAGCCAGTCAATACTTCCATGGCGGACAAATTGCCGATCTCATCATTTCTAATAAAAAACAAAGCCAAACAAACCAAAAAAGTAACAAAAATCACAAACTAGGATGCCTGATGAGCTGTACTAAAATCCTGGCTTGGGAGCCCATTAGTTGAAATTGGACTGGTGGCAGCAGGAAGTGGAAATTGTTAAACAGATTCCTTAAATCTGTTAAAATAGGAGGAAAGATAAAGAAAACCAGAACTGTCACCTCTAGCCTGGCCAACATGGGAAGAGTTGATAAGTAGAGGACAGTAGATTTTCATCAGATAGGAATGTTGGTTTGTTTTCTTTCTCCTTTTAAAAGATTCCCTTTCTTTAGGAGATCCTGATAGAAGCAAACAGACACTGGAAGGTAACAGCTTGTTCAGAGAGCACCGAGCTGATAAAAAGATTCTGGGAAAGTCACCTGAATTCTTGGAGCCCCAGTTTCTTTATCTGTAAAATGGGAATAATGATGACAACCGAGCTTTCCTACCTGCTGAGAGATGCCTCAGGAGAGAGTGTTTTAAAACAGCTTTGCAAAAACCAGAGGCCTCTGTAAATGCAAGGTGGCTTTAACCTTACCCATCATGGCCTACAGAAGAAACAAAGGCAAGGAAATGGAGTCAGTATGCATTAGATTTGGGGAAGTGTTTCTGAACAAAAGTGAGAGGATCAAACTTTACGATAGCCATAAGTAGGAGGGAAGCACAGAAATCACATTTGCTTTCAAATTAATTATTTTAAATAAATTCCCTTTATCAATTGTGGTCTATTGCTTTGGGGCATCCCAGACGGTTTTATGCAATGTCATGTTGTATTTAATGCTCTTTTGTTCATCGTTTTTATTATTTTTTAATTAAAAAATTTTTTTAACATTTATTCATTTTTGGGAGAGAGAGAGAGAGAGACAGAGCACGAGTGGGGTAGGACCAGAGAGAGAGAGAGAGACACAGAATCCGAAGCAGGCTCCAGGCTCTGAGCTGTCAGCACAGAGCCTGATGCAGGGCTGGAACCCACGCAATGTGAGATCATAGCCTGAGCTGAAATCAGACAGCCAATCGACTGAGCCACCCAGGAGCCCCGTTTTTGTTCATCAACTTAAATCAGTTGGCAAAATAGTTGTAGGAATGGAGGTTCCCCGCTCTCTTCAGAGAGGGGACACCAAAGGAATGTTCAAGAATGTATTTCTATCTGGGTCTAAAGTAGAGGTGGACATTGGTAGCAGTCAAAACCCGACTCAGGATAACCACATGACACGCACGTAGCTACATCCTCTTACCATAGCAGACATCGGCAATCAACCACAGCACCTTTTCCCTCCTTAAGCCTGGAGATGGCCTCAGAACCCTTCCTAACTCAACGGTAACTCGATCAGGTCAGGGTAAAATCCATTTGTCATGCCTGGTCTAGAGCCGAAGCGTGACTCTTCATAATCAAAGTGTTAAGCAGGTATTAGGTTATGCCTTAATTCCCCGTGGAGGAAATTAAACCAGCAACTTATGAGTTTGTGACTTATTCTTTCATTTTCCGAACACTTATTGGTTGTGCTTAATTCTAGGCGAAGCAAACAAGTTAGCAGAGTCAAAACGAAATGCCTGGGTTGTAATTCCATAGACGTTCCTCTCTCTTCATGCAGCTATCCAGGATATTTGATCCTTCTGATGCCATTAGCTGTTGGCTTCAAACAACTGCGAAGAAGAGGAGGAAACCTGACACTTTAGTTGGATGATGTTTATACAGATGCAGCTTCTTCCTCAGCATATTTGGTTAGGAAGAGCTCAATGAGCTCGAGGCTGAATCTCAGGAATGTGTAAATAAAGTGACATTGACACAGACCTTTAGGAACATTTACAAGCCCCATTCTAACCCCACTTAGAGCAGAGGTTCTTAATCTTTATTGGGCATGGACCACTTTGGCAGTCTGGTGAAGTTAATGGAGAGCCCTCTCAGAGTATGGTCTTTAAATAAAACAGTAAAAGAAAACACATGGGTCATACAGGAATCTGGTTGCACTGAAATCATTATTGGAATATTTTTTAAAATCGGTGATATAATAACATATGTGCGTTTTAGAAAATTTTCTTAATGTTTATTTTTTGAGAGACAGCAAGAGCGAGCACGAACAGGGTAGGGGCAGAGCGAGAGGGAGACAGAATCCCAAGCAGGCTCTGTGCCATCAGCACAGAGCCCAATGCAGGGCTCGAACCCACAAATCAGGAGATCATGACCTGAGCTGAAATCAAGAGTTGGACACTTAACCGACTGAGCCACCCAGGTGCCCCATTTGTGCTTTATTAAGCAGTCAACAAGACCTAACTGCAGGTTGAATAACTACCATAATTCTGGACTAGAGAAGAGAGCAAATATTCTGAGAGGTTTGGGACAATTGTCATGTTCTATAAAATTATCTGTAATTTCTTTAATTTTTTTTAATGTTTTTTTTTGAGACAGAGAGAGAGCATGAATGGGGGAGGGTCAGAGAGAGGGGGAGACACAGAATGTGAAGCAGGCTCCAGGCTCTGAGCTGTCAGCAGAGCCTGACGCGGCTCGAACTCACGGACCATGAGATCATGACCTGAGCCGAAGTCGGAAGCTCAACCGACTGAGCCAGCCAGGCGCCCTAAAATTATCTGTAATTTCTATTGGTGGCTAAGTCACAGGTACCGACCGCTAACACTGCTGTGGTTTGTGAGCACATACAAAAAGAGTTACAAAGTTTCAGAAAGAGGTTAGTAAAAATGAAGACGGATTTTTGTGCCCCGCATCCAACTAATTGAAGAGCCCTCTGAATTACGTCCTCGGATCCCAGTTACAAACCTCCGACTTCAACAACTTTGGACTTAGGGATCTCCAGGCTTAGGAGGGGCAACATTCTTACCCCTAGTGCTTCATTTAGAGAACACTTTATGCAAAAGAAAACAGTTCTACACAGATTGCTTTGCTCTGGTGTGTGACTGCCAGGCTCTCTGCCGCCAGTAGAGAATCTCTTCTACTTTCAGAGTGTTTCCCTCGAGGGTCACACACAGCTTAAACACATTCTCTGGCATAGAAACTGTGTGGATGTGCGGAAGTGGGGGCTTAAGCAGGTTAAGTGACCTGACCTACAGAACTAAACAATGGCAAAGCCATCATACCCTGCAGCCTCCTGTTTCTAGAGTCAGGAGGAAGTTCTGTTACTGACGGCCATTTTCTATCCCTGGCAAATTGAGGGTTAAGAAGGCCAGAGGCTCTTTCTAGATCTGACTTGAACCAGAGGTCCAGGAAAAGAATCTCGCAGATAATCAGGGACTCCTCACAGTCTGGTTGGGTTTATTTGACACAGCACCTACCCTTGAAATTTTCTACAGGCTTCTGCAGGGAGATTTCAAAGAGGTAAATGACCCCCTACACCCACCAGGTGTTGGTGGAAGTACTCTAACAGTATATTATTGAAGCATTGTCAGTGGTAGATACTTCTGTTTTGTGGTTGGTTTTATACTAGGTCAAATGAAATCATGGGGTATATGGGTAGGGGTGGGAACTGGGTAAGAGGAGACATTAAAAAAAATTTTTTTTTTTAATGTTTATTTTTGAGAGAGAGAGGGACAGAATGTGAGAAGGGGAGTGGCAGAGAGAAAAGAGGGAGAGACACAGAACCCGAAGCAGGCTCCAGGCTCTGAGCTGACAGCACAGAGCCCAAAGCGGGGCTCAAACCCACGAATCATGAGATCGTGACCTTAGCCAAAGTCAGATGCTTAACAAACTGAGCCACCCAGGTGCTTTTTTTTTTCTTCTTTTTAAGAGGAGACATTTAAGAAAATATTATCCTTGGGTCCAGTAGCCTCTGACACATAATTTACATTCATGTTAGAATTTAGGTTATATTTTTTAGGTCAGCATTAAAGTTGATTAATGATTTATTTTCATTGCAATTTCACTTTTTTATTTACTCATAGGTAATCACAAAAAGTCTCCCTAGAGTGACTTAATACTAGGAAAATAACTCCTGAGAGTAAATCAAATAAACCCTCTCCCTTCAGCAATAAGGATGCCTGCAAACAAGTCCAGTACTCCTAGGACACTGCTTACTCAGATTCTTGGTGTTGGCATTATTCATGATGGCACTTGCCGAGGTGAGCTTCTGGGGCATCTCAGTTTCTCCTGGATTTAGGTGATGTTGGGGAGTGATGGGAAGGAGTAAAGACCACTCTCTGGGACTTCTTGGAAGAACTTGGGCTTTTGATTCAGTTGCTTTTTCTCCCACTGGAAAGAAAAAGTTACCCAATACATGCTCATGTAAAAATATAAATAATACAGAAGTGAATTAAATAAAAAGTTAAAGTCCTTTTTCTTTTGCCATCTTCCAACCCCACTCCCCTCCCCAGAAGTCGAGTATATTTCTAGAACCTTTTTCTATATATAGGTAAGTACACAGAAAACACATAAATGTAAATAAAACACATATCTCTTTACATAAATGGGAACCTGTCAGAATTATGCATATTTTTATGTTCCTTTTTTATTAACAGTGTTTCTTAGATCTCTGTGTTTGCACACAGAGAGCTATCTTATTCTTTTAGATTTTTTTTTTTAATTTTTTTTCCAACGTTTTTTATTTATTTTTGGGACAGAGAGAGACAGAGCATGAACGAGGGAGGGGCAGAGAGAGAGGGAGACACAGAATCGGAAACAGGCTCCAGGCTCTGAGCCATCAGCCCAGAGCCTGACGCGGGGCTCGAACTCCCGGACCGCGAGATCGTGACCTGGCTGAAGTCGGACGCTTAACGGACTGCGCCACCCAGGCGCCCCTTCTTTTAGATTTTTTAACGTTTGTATTCATTTTTGAGAGAGAGAGAGAGAGAAAGACAGAGCGTGAATGGGGGAGGGGCAGAGAGAGAGGGAGACACAGAATCTGAAGCAGGCTCCAGGCTCTGAGCTGTCAGCACAGAGCCCAACACAGGGCTCGAATCCATGAACCATGAGGTCATGACGTGAGTCAAAGTCAGACACTTAAGTGACTGAGTCACCCAGGCGCCCTTAGATCTTATTCTTTTTAATGACTACATGCGGTCCATAAGGTAGCTGGGTATACCGTATTTGTGTAACTAGTTTTCCATGCATGGACATTCATGTTGTTTGCAGGTTGCATTTTTGTTGGTTTAGTTGCTATTTAGAAACTGTATTCCAATATTATTCTACCTCTTTTAAGCTGCTAAAAACCCTCCTTCGGTGTGCTCTTGCCCTCTGCAGGAATCAGGGCTGAGTGAGATGAATAGAGAAGTCAGAGGATGCAATCAATCCCTTTTCTTCCCGCTCGCTGATCGCTTCCTTTCCCCTTTCCATCTCCCACCTGAGTTCGGTCCAATGCACAAAAGGAGAGCTCCCCCTGCTGGGAATGCCCTTCGCTGCCTCCCTCTCACCTGGGTAACTCCTTTCATCCTGCAAGCCCGGCCTCGAATTTCATCTTCCAAGGCCAGGCCCCACCGCTCTGGTAAGTGGGCCCCTCCTCCCCGCTCTCTTGGCTCCGGCTCCATCCCAGATCATTTTAAAATCGCCTGCCTGTACACCCAGCCCCTGAGGGGAGGGAAGGAACTCACTGTGGTCACCGTGTGTCTTCAGCTTCTAGTAGCATGATGAGCATGTTGCCCAGAGACAGTACAGGTGACCTGAACTGCAGGGCCTCCAGGTGAGCAGCTCCTGACATAATGTACGCTTGGTCTAGTTACCTTTAAATGTGTGTTGAAGCCGACATTAGATTACGAATCATCTGGATAGCATCTGAGATGGAACCAGGTGTCCAGACGAAGAATAACATTGCAAAAAGGTTATGATAACACACACGGTTGCCAGCATCGGTCAGTCCCCTCTGTGGCCTTCCTCACTCTCATGACATCCATGGGGATCATTCTGATCTCGGCAATAGGCTCCAACAGACTCAAGAAGAGCAGTACCTGTTCTGCAGGTTCTATTTTAAATTTTTATTAGCATTTTCACCCATGCCCTGCCTGCTATCTCTCAGGCACGTTGCTCCCACACAACCGGTTCAGTTATTCCCTTCCCAGCAGCAGCCCTGCCCATCCTCACGCCTCTGTCAGGGCTGCTGGGATGTGAAGGGCTTCCCGCTCCCAACTCTGTGACACAGAGACGGCCGGCAGGCAAACGGCTGGGGCCCGAAGGGGACTGCATTTCTGTAGCCTGCTTGACCTGGGAAAGCAGAGCAGGAGAGGAGGGAAGGCAGAGAGCACAGAAGGGCTGGAGAGAGAGGCAACCTGAAGCAGCTGGTGGGTCAGACCCCAGAGTTGAGGCTGACATTTTGAATCCTGAAACTCCAGACTATAAGGTATCCTGGGGATCAGCTGGTAAGTATTGGAGCCAACGCACAGCTTGGGTGCGGGCAGGGAGGACACTGTCCTACGTAAAGCACAACGCATTCCAACTCCACCCCTTCCACCAGACTGTTGCTTCCTAATTCAACCTGCGTAGAAATTCTGGGGTGACTTGGGAGTAGGCCACAATTTCCCACTCTGGCTTACACAGCTGGCCAGGAGGAAACTCTTATCTATACAGTGGCCCCAACAGTGAGGGAGGAGGGAGAGGAGGGTGGAGGAGGAGGAGGAAGAGAGGAGACGGTGGAAGAAATGGTGTGGACTGGGGCTTCCTCCTAGCCTTCATTCTGCAGACTCGAACTGACACCTAGAAAGGTGAACACCCGCCCAAGTCACTCGGATGCTAAACCCGTGATAAACCTCCACACTGGTCTCTGCTCTTTTCCGTGTCCCACATTTCTGAGAAGGTAGAACAGGCATCAGCCACACTTCTGGGATAATCTAGGTCTCGGGGAGGGGTGTAGTATGGCTAAAATGCCTCTTCCGCCAGCCTTGCAATTCCTCATATACAGAGTTTTGCAATTCCTCATATATAGAGTCTCATATATCAGAGAGTTTTACTCTCTGATCTCACGTTTGGTTCTTTTACAAATGCAGACACCCTGGGGAGAAGCAACACAATCTCATCAGGAATCATTTCATTAAATCTTTTCTGTACAGGGGCACCTGGGTGGCTCAGTCGGTTAAGTGTCCAACTTCGGCTCAAGTCACGATCCTGCGGTCTGCAGGTTTGAGCTCTGCATTGAACTCTGTGCTGACAGCTCAGAGCCTGGAGCCTGCTTCGGATTCTGTCTCCCTCTCTCCCTCTGTACCTCCCCTGCTCTCTGTAAAAAATAAAGAAATATTAAAAAATTATAAATAAATCTTTTCTGTAAAGCAGATTTGAGCAAAGCTAAGGTGTAGACTAATAAAGGCCTGGGGAAGCTGTGTGTGTGTGTGTGTGTGTGTGTGTGTGTGTGTTAAGGTTTCCAACACTCTGAGGGAATACAGATGCCCAAAGGAAAGAGAGGTTTCAAGGTTTACTTCTTGCCTAGAGAGTATCTGACTCTTCCCCGGAGACAGTGTGTGCATGGTCACTCTGGCCACAAAGTGCAATATGGAGTCACCATAGTTCACATCCTGGGCTAGCTCTCCTATGACTAGAACCTCCCACTGACCCACATACTTCTTGGCAGTGCACAGGAAGGTGAGTCTATGCTGATCAGCTGATTCGTTCTTTAAAGTGGAAGACAGCCAGGGAGATGTGTCAGCCACTGTCTTTGGCAGCAGAAGGTGGGAGAGCCTCCCTTTCGAGCAAGGTGCATCCTGGGCCAAGAGCTCGTTTCGGGCTCCTGAAGTCATGTGCTTGTTCCCATGAAGTAAGGAGCCCCCTTTCCTTCCTCATAGGTGGACTTACAAGGTCATTGCTTTGCTCCAAAGGGGTCTCTCTAAACCCTGGCAAGTGCTCACATTCTGGTGGCTCTACCTTTAATGGTTATTTTAGGTTGCTTCTAAGCTTTGTCAAGTCTCCACACATCTCCTAAGAGAAGTCCAGAATGGAAAATAAACATGGTACTATGATAGCTGAGCATGTCGGGAAGACTGTTTAGAGTCTGGCCCCCTCATTTTCTTCGTGTCCCTTGTGAGGATGAATAAAAGAAAGTAATGTATCCAAAGCTCTCTGAGCTCCTTGGGGAGAGGGATTACGAATGCCCAGATTCCGTGGTTATACAGGGCATTTAATAATACACTAACAGCTAGACTTTCCCCTCCTTGGCAGAATTTGATTACATGAATCTCCCAAAGGTCTCCTCTGAAATAGAATTTTCTAAAAGTCAACAAAAGTGGAAAACATTACAGTCTTCCAATAATGACTGACCCCAGGCGAGGTTCTGCTAAATCTGGGGGAGGGGCTGCATTTCCTATGGGACTCACAGAATTCTTCCTCTCTGGAAAGTCTCAAAGACTGGAGCGGTAATGGGAAACACAAGAGCGAGTTTGACTACTGAGACTTAATAAGGCCTGACATTTCTATGCCTAATCCTCATATATATTCCATTATGGTGATTTTCAAGACAGACACTAAAATGAGTCCCTCTTATGTACATGGCAGGGGGCGGAGGGGTGGTGCAAGGCAAGGGGTGAGGGAGGAGAAACTATAATCATAAAAATAAGAAAAATCACAATTAATCCCAACCAAATTTCTGGAGAGACCAGCACTGACTTCTATTTCTCAAAACACTGCCCCTTTAACTTATCTGCCAGGTTTCAGTGAAATCCTAAACTATGTTCTCATATACTTAAAATACGAAATCCAATGTAAAACCAAATGTTTTAGAAGTAGAGACGCAAAATGACATTGTGGAAAGCTGGGAGAAAGAAGGTTTGGTAAGTCGACTCTTTAAAATATCCGAGCCTGCCTGGGCCTGGACAAGGGAGGAATTTGGACCCCAGCTGCCCAGCTTCTCCCTGTGGCTGCTCAGACATCCTTTGGTGGCTCTGGTGGCAAAACAAACAAAACAAAAACAAACAAACAAACAAAAAACCCCAAAACACGAAACAAAACAAAAAACAAAAAACAAAACAAAAACCAACATATAACTTGCTGCACAAAAACTGAGCTGCTCCCAATTGTAACCGTTAGAACGTGCAGAAAATCGCGACTATATTCACGCTGGCCCCATCAATGGAAGATTACAGGTCTCATGTAAAGCTGCAGTACCGTCCACCCTCAAACAGGAGTAATTTTGTGCTATTTTTGGATGGTGTGGTTCTTTAAAACAAAGTGATAAATTAAAGTGGCCTCAGTAATGCAGCAAAAATGTTCAGCTGTTTTAAGGCAAATGGAAAATGTGGTCTTCGTGTACAAAGGAGGAGTCAGCAGATGGAAAGGTTTGGAGTCGGTTCTCAACTGAGTTCAAAAGAATTTCAGCCAGTCAGTCTGGTATTGAACTTTGGAAACTATGCTGTGCCCCAAATTGTGCCTGGGCACGAGGAGTTATTAAGGAGAATTATTTTTTCCTTCTGGAATTTCCAATTAATAGAGAATTCCTTGAGGGCAGGCACAATGCCTGTTTTTTCATGATAGGACCCTGACTTGCCTAGCCATGTTAATGGTCCACCTTCTCCGGCTCTCCCAGACCACTCAAATGGCTCAGTTTCGGTCACTGGCAGCATCCGTCACCTCTTCCAATGTTCTCCAAATCCAGGCCCTGCTTCTCCGCATTTCTCTTAGCTAAACCCTACATCCCACGCATCCTTCAAGGTCCAAAGTAAACCCTCGGTTGTTTCTTAAAGTTTTCAGCCTGTGCTGGCCCCTCCTTTTTTCCTCTCCTATTGCACTTAGGGTTGGATCCCGGGGAGGAGTTTGGCTGAGCAGCAGGGAGAAGGAGAACATCCAGAAATAGCAAGGGCAAAGGCAGAATGGGTACAGCCCAGTGATGCTGAGGACGGGGGAGAAGGGGAGAGAATGAGGGGAGCAGGAAGGCGGTCTTAGAAGATGAATACAAGTTAAAGTCTAAGTCACTCCGTGCCTGAGTGGGTCATTTGGGGGCAAAGGAGGTCATGTGCTGGAAAGCTGGGTTCCTCTACTTGCAGAGACCTCCCTTTGGTGAGTGCCCATAGTATCCGTAAGTCAAATAAGTGAATTTATGCTAAACCCATCAAACCTAAAGCAAAGTGGTGCATTGGCATGAGGAGGGGACAAAGTAAAGGGAGTTTCAGGAAGTCTTTCTGAATTAGGGTCTCCCCCACAATCCCCTCCGCAACACCAAGTTCTTTTGTTGCTGTTGTGCTGTATCAGTTGGAGCCTGGAGAGGTACATGTATGCATGGGTGTCTGGCTCCCTCCCTAGGCTGTATGCTCCCTGGACAGGGATGTGGTTATTTCACTCACTGTCGTATCCCCAGGGCCAAGCCCAACACCTCAATACATATGTGTCAGATAAATGAAGGAGTTCACCCTCGATGAGCTGGTAGCATTTAAAGAGCACTTTACAAAGAGTGTTCTGGCAATGGTGTGCTGGGGAGAGGGGGAGAGGGGGAAAGAAGGTGAGCCAAGAGAACGGAAGGACTAGGCTGGGCACAGGGGATACGACAGTGAA